AAGCGTGCGCGCTACCGCTTGAGCCACATCCCCAGCCCCCCTTTATTTTCTTTATGTGATGCTGAGGCTTGAACCCAGTGCCTCATACGTGCTAGGCAAGTGCTCTACCATTGAGCCACAACCTCAGCCCCACAAGTCTTAGCTTGTAGGATTTGCTTCAAAGCTTGCCCACATTACTGTTAGGAAGTCTCAGTTCCACGTGACTGGGGCCCATCATTAGGGCTACTTAAGTGTTCATGTGATGTGGTACCTGGCTTCCCCCAGAGCGGGTGATCTAATATAGAGGACAAGGAGGAAGCTCCAGTGGCTCTGTGACCCAGCCCTAGAAGCATTACACCATCTCTGCTGCCACATTCTGTTCATTCAGAACAAGTGCCAGGTCTGGCCCACATTTAAGGAGAGGATAATTAGCCTTCATCTTTTGAAAGAAGTAACAAAAATCTGGAGATTTAGGGGCTGTAGTGTGCATGGAGCCCTGGGTTTGATCACCAATACCACATTAAAAAATATTTTTCAGATATATTTATTTATTTTGGTGCCAGGGATTGAACCCAGGGGCATTTAGCCACTGAGCCACATACCCAGCCCTTTTATTTTTTGAGACAGGGTCTCACTATGTTGCCTAGGGCCTCCCTAAATTGATGAGACTGGCCTTGAACTTGAATTCCTCCTGCCTCATCCTCCTAAATTGCTGGGATTATAGGTGATGGTTAATCCAGGTCTTCTGCCTTCCACGTGAGGGTCCTGTGTGGTAGGATTATAACACTCATGTTGTGTCCCCTACAAAATGTCCCCCTCACTCACACACTTAGGCATTCTGGTAGAGAAACAGAGACAGGGGACAGGCATCCCAGGGCCACCACGCCTTTACCCAAGTCTTTTGTAGCCTCACTCCTGGTTACTGGGCATCCTCCCATTGTTTCTGCCACAGGTGAAGCGGAGGCTGGACCTGGAAACTGACCATCAGTACCTGGCTGAGAGCAGTGGGCCTGTTCGGGGTAGAGGCCGCCACCCAGGAAAAGGTACCGGTGGAACTCAACCTGGGTAGGCCCCTCTGACCAGGCCCAGGCTGGGGTTGTTCATGGATAAACATACTTGCAGACTAAAAAATCTAACTGGTGAGGTCTGAGCTTAAGTCAGGCATCTGGGGGCCTGGCAAGCAGCTAGAGTGGCCGCTGGGCATGACTTCCCTGGGCACCGGGGTGGGGAGTTCCCCCAGCCAGAAGAGAAATGCTGTGGTTGGCAGGCAGCAGCCACAGGGCCTCCCTGCTTGGCCCTACCAAGGGGAGGAGCCACCTGTCCCCCAGGACTGCTGCTCCACCTTGCTTGAACAGTCTCTCCGACCAGGTGCAAAATCCCCGGGGGAGAAGTCACGCTATGAGACGTCCCTGAATCTGACCACCAAACGTTTCCTGGAGCTGTTGAGCCGCTCAGCTGATGGCGTTGTTGATCTGAACTGGGCAGCTGAGGTGCTGAAGGTGCAGAAACGGCGCATCTACGACATCACCAATGTCCTGGAAGGCATCCAGCTCATTGCCAAGAAGTCCAAGAACCACATCCAGTGGCTGTAGGTACCAGGCAATCAGGAGGGCAGGCAGAGGCTCTGGGCAGGCACAAATACCTGCCCGTGCTGCTGGCAATACCCACTGACTTCTGCATTCCCGTCTTATAGTTGGGGCACTGAAGCTGCAGATGTGGTTTCCCTGGGCTGTTAGATGCTGAGAAGTACACAAATCTTTTTTTGTACTGGAGATTGAACCCAAGACCTTTACCACTGAGCTGCATTCCCAGTCCTTTTTATTGAGTCAGGGTCTTGCTAAGTTGCTGAGGCTGGCCTTAAACTTGCAATCCTTCCCCCGAGTCACTGGGATTATAGGTGAGTGTCATCACACCTAGCAACAGACACAGATTTCAAACTTATCCAGCTCACTGTAGCTGTACATATTTGTTCATCTGAGTAACCACCAAGATCAAGATTTTTAAAAAATCTCTTCAACCCCCAGGAGGTTTCCTTGTGCCCCTTCCTGGTTATTGCTCATCTCATACCACCAGGTAGTCCCCATTCTGGCTTCTGCTGCCATTGATGAGATTTGTTTGACACAGATGTATAGATGTTTTAGATGTATTTCCCCCCCGACCCGTTTTTTGTTTTTGTTTTTTTAATAACATCTGTTTCTCTAGGCTGTCCTCAAACTTGTGATCCTCCTGCCTCCTGTATATCCTGTTAATTCTTTATTTTTCCCTTTTCGCCTCTCCCCAGGCAACCCTACTACCCTGTCTTTGACACGTTGGTCTTTTCAGTTTGGGGTAGATCATCCTACTCTGCATCACTTTGTTTTTCTTTTCACTTGACAACATGTCTTGGAAATAATTTCATGTGTATATCTAATTCATTCTCGTCCTTTTATACAGCTGGGTCATTTTCCAGGGCGTATCTCTGCCATCATTTATTTACTCAGCCTCCTGGTAGGGACATGTAGGTGTTTGTTGGCAGTCAGGCCAGTCTGATTTGGAACCCAGCTGAGGAGCTGGAGCCAGAGAGGAGAAATCCTGTCAGAATCTGAGATCAGGGACTGGGGCTGTGATTCAGTGGTAGAGCACTTGCCTTGCACATGTGAGGCACTGGGTTCTATCCTCAGCACCACATAAAAAAATAAATAAATAAAGATACTGTGTCCATCTACAACTTAAAAAAAAAATTAAAAGAAAAAAAAGAATCTGAGATCAGTGGCCACAGCAGTGTCCCAAGGGCCAGGGCTGATGGGCAGAGGGGCTGGGAGCTGCTAACCCTCCTGAACGCCTCTCCACAGAGGCAGCCACGCCACAGTGGGAATCGGTGGGCGGCTTGAAGGGCTGACCCAGGACCTCCAGCAACTGCAGGAGAGCGAGCAGCAGCTGGACCACCTGATGCACATCTGCACCACACAGCTGCGGCTGCTCTCCGAGGACTCTGACAGCCAGCGATATCCTTGGGTTGGCCGGGGACTTGGAGGACAGGTGTGATAGGTGGGGTTACCCACCCAAGTGGGTGGAGAGGCCCTGGATCTCAGATTCAGGAGAAGGCTCTGGCACTGAGTGCTTGATCAAAGCCTTGGGTTTAATCCCTAGGACCTCAAAAAATATACATGTATTTTTGGCCATAGCCATCAACTGACACCAAGATCATAGGCCAATATACTCTCAACACCAGGCCTGGCATCGTGTTAAGCTTTTTATGTGGAATTATCACTGTCAGCCATCATTATTAGCTTTGAATGAGATGGGTAGATAGTCCCACTGTACTGATGTGGCCATTGACGTCCAGGGGAATGAAGTGTTGAACACCAATTATGTGCCAAACCTTATGGTGGATCAGGAAGACGAGTGAAGAGGCAAGTATAGACCCTGTCTTGGGGGCTGTCATGGTGAGTGGCCTCCAGAGACCAAAGATCATATACTCCTTGACTCTACCAACCCTGGCCTATGTGACGTGTCAGGACCTTCGTAGCATTGCAGACCCTGCAGAGCAGATGGTCATGGTGATCAAGGCTCCTCCTGAGACCCAACTCCAAGCCGTGGACTCTTCAGAGGTAAGACCAGGGACTTCAGGCCCAATGAGGACAAGCTGGGCTGGGATAGTGGTCACCTGGGCCTCAGGTAATTCTGCCTGCTGCCTCTACCCAGAACTTTCAGATCTCCCTCAAGAGCAAACAAGGCCCCATTGATGTTTTCCTGTGCCCTGAAGAGAGTGTGGGCGGGATCAGCCCAGCAAAGACTCCATCCCAGGAGGCAGCTTCTGGAGAGGAGGACAGGACAACTGACCCCGTCACCACAGTGCCACCACCATCACCTCCGCCTTCGTCCCCTGCTATGGATCCCAGCCAGTCCCTGCTCAGCCTGGAGCAAGGTGGGTAAGGGTGAGTGGGGGGGGCTCCCCTAGATGGGTGAGCAGGCATGGCAACCCCCTCTGTCCTCTCTGCTGGGCCATCCCTGGCCTGTGATGCTCCCCCGTCTCCCCAGAGCCACTGTTGTCAAGGATGGGTGGCCTGCGGGCCCCCATGGATGAGGACCGCCTGTCCCCGCTGGTGGCTGCTGACTCACTCCTGGAGCATGTGCGGGAAGACTTCTCCGGGCTCCTGCCTGAGGAGTTCATCAGCCTCTCCCCACCCCACGAGGCCCTCGACTACCACTTTGGCCTTGAGGAGGGTGAGGGCATCAGAGACCTCTTCGACTGTGACTTTGGGGATCTGACCCCCCTGGATTTCTGACAGGTCCTAGGGGGCCAGGGTCTCCTGAGATGCCCCTCCCTGTCTCTGCAGCCCTGGAGCCCCCTGCCCTAGGCCATCCTTCCAGCCCTTTTGGAAAAATAATTTATACCCTTTCTCCCATCTCAGCAGCTTCTAGCTCTGGGGTCTGGCTGCCACCAGGAGGTTGAGCAGGCCAGGAAGGGAAGGATTCTGTTTGTGGTGTGTATGTGCATGCACCCAGCACCCCACGTGTGTGTAACTGGGGTGAGTGGTGTGTGAATATGTGTGTGTGCATGTACCGGGGAATGAAGGTGAACACATCTGTGCGTGCACTGCAGACACGCCCCAATGTGTCCACGTGTGTGCATGAGTCCATGTGTGTGCATGGGGGGCTCTAACTGCACTTTCGGTCTCCTTGCTCCAGGGGCCTTTGAAGGCCCAGGGTTGGCCGCCTGCCCCCAGAATCCTGTGTGCTGACCTGGCCAGGCAGGGAGGCCTTGGCTGGTTGGGTTTGCAAGAGCACTTCTGTCTTAAGGTTTTCTGATCGAAGCTTTAATGGAGCGTTATTTATTTATCTAGGCCTCTTTGGCAAGCCTGGGAAACAAGACTGGGAGGGATGTGGGGTTGATACCCTAACTCCCTGTACCCCTGAGCAAAGACAGGGGTCCCCAAGTGGTTCTTTTGCCCCATCCCGAGGGAGCTGAGGCCTGAGCGATTTATTTATTGGGGAAAGGCAGAAGGGAGACAGACTGACTGACAGCTATGGGTGGATGGAGGTGTGGTCCCTTTCCAGGGGTCACTTCAGAGCCCCAGATGCCCTCCCCATGGATATGAGATGGGAGAGGTGAGTGGGGACCTTCATTAACAGGGTGGGCAGGAGGGGTGGGTGAAGGGCTCCCCAGCCTAGACTGAGGGGCCCCTCCTGTGGTGTTTGAAGTGCCCCCCTACCACTTATTGCTCTGCTCCACCCTCCAATCTGCACTTTGATTTGTTTCCTAACAGCTGTTTCCTCCTGCTTTGGTTTTAATAAACATTTTGATGATGTTTGGGCTGGGTTTTAGATCTCTACTTGATGTAAATCTGGGAGTGGGAGAGACCAGGGTTTTTAGGGGAAATGCCCATTCTCCTCTCCTCTCTGTCCCTCAGATGGATTTCATTCCATTTGAGTTTCATAACCCTAAGAAAGGAAGGCTTCCTAACTTAAAATTTTTTTCCTAACTTAAAAACTGATCCAATAAATATTGTTGTAGAAAGTCACACATGCTGCCAAAGTGCAGAAGTAATAGGTGAGTTCCTCTCTTTTCAGCCCCAGGGGTCACTGATATTTTTGGTATGTTCCTTCCAGAAGTTTCTAGGCATTAGTAAACGTGCAACAAATACAATGGACTGCATTTGTATCTGTGTCAGGTACTTTCCAGTCTTGGGGTGAGTGGGTTCCCTCCACTCAAGGGTGTTTTGATGGGAATTTGTGCAAAAGAAAAATTAGGGGAGAGCTTTCTGGAAGAGGTGGTGCTTAGGCTGAAAACTGAGGGTCAATAGGGGTTAACTGGAGGAAGGAAGAGGAACACACCAAGCAGAGAAAAAAGTATGGGCAAAGAGGCCCTGGGGCCCAGTGGGGCAGGTCAGAGGAGCTGACCTAATGAGGCTGGAGTCCTAAGGGAGGGGAGACATTCATTCTAGGGTTTTATTCAGGGTACAAAGAGTCACCAGGCAGTCTAAGGAGGGACATGTCCTGTTTCATATTTAAAGCTCCCTCTGGCAGCTGTACAGAGACCTTTGAAGGGAGAGCCCAAATAGCTTGGGGGGAAAGAAGGCTGAGGACTCTGAAAGTGCAGACTGTGGGGTCAGGACACTTGAGACCCGGGAAAGAGGAGAGTGACAACAGCATGGACCTGTGTAATAGACTGTCGGGTGGGTGGTCTCTGAGCTGGCCCAATTTAGCCCCTTTACATTCAAATGCATCACACGACAATCCTATGGGGGCGTCCACTTTTACCCCCATTAGACAGACAAACCTACGGGAGAAATCGACCCTTGGGTTTCGCTTCTTCAGTTGGCTGCTGACCCTCTGGGCCTTGAGTCCGGTGTTCGCGCAGCCCTCTCGCTCTGCTCCTGCGGTGCACTCCCGCGCTGGCTGGATCTGCTCGGCCCGTCCCGAGTGGAAATTACCCCTTGGGTGGTTCCTCACTCCTCGGTGGCGCACCCGCGGGGAGGGTCCAGGCTGGAGTCGTTCAGTGCGCAGCCTGGGCCCCAGACGGGGAAACCGAGGCCCGGCTTGACCGGCGGAGGCCAGTCCGGGGCGCGCGGCGGGGGCGGGGCGCGCGTGGCGGAGGCGGGGCTTGGCACGGCCCGAGGGGGACAGGTGTCCCTGTGCCCCGGGCGTCGTGGGCGGGACGGGTACCCCCACATCCTAGAAACCTGAGGTGTGCAGGTGTCAACACATCATTGCTACTTTAGGAGGATAGGTGACACTACATCATTGTTACCTGGAGGGGACAGGGGCTCTACATCGTTACTACCAGGAGGGAACAGGTACCACTACATCAGTTGTTACCTGAGGGGGACGGATGCCGCCTATCATTACTACCTGGAGGGGACAGCTGTCCCCGTGTCACTGCTACCTGGGGGGACAGGATGACGCTGAGGTGTAGGGGCTGAGTGCTGCTTGTCGGCATCGTTTTTACCTGGGCGTTGGAGTACAGGTGCTCTCACAGCATTGCTACCCGAGGGGGAGAGGTGCCTCTACATCACGGTCACCTGTGCCCTTCTTGGGTGTTGGGGAGGGACAGACGTCCCCACTTGTGGACCTGGGGTGGGACAGGTATCTCTCATTCCTGAACAGGTGAGGGAAAGGTCAGATGCTCTCCCTCACTTGGTCCTGATGGGACCTAAGAAGGCAAATTGTGCTGAGTCCTGGAACTTTTGGGGACCTGGTGATGGTCTCCTAGGGGGACGGGGGCCCTTTCAGGATGAGGGTGGGAGGATAGGTCTGCCCTAGGTGGCTGGGTGCATGTGGCATCCAGGAGCAGGCCAGGTTCTGCCAGGCTCACTTGGGAAGCTGCCACGGGCTTGGAGCAGGGTGTGTTGGCAGTGGGGTCTGAAGCGGCTCTTCTCGTAGGCCCGTGATCATGGCCTTAGTTTCCTCTCAAGTGTGTCTAGCAAGACCTTCCTCGGGGGTCAAGGAGGAGAGCATGCTGTGCACAGGTGGCTGCAAATGTCTGCTGAGGTCCTTCAGTGGTGAGACCCCATCCTGCACTGTGGGATCTAAGAGGAGGTGGGTGTGGGAGTTGCAGGCACCCACACCCCTGGTTTCTGGATTCGGCCACTGATCTGACTGGTGCAGGTAGACTTACCTCCATCTCTGATTCCTCAGGTGGAACTTTGGGGTCGTGATCTTTTATAATTAGATGCTTGTTTCTCTCCAAGAAGGTGGCCTTGCAGGCTAGGATGTGTGTCTTCATTTCTGTGTACACATTTAGAGCAGATTGGTGCTATGTCGGCAGACATTGCAAGAGCCTGCTCAGGGAGCGGGGCCC